GACGCTCTGTTTGCTATATAGATGCAAATTCATAGAAGCAGATTAAACAGATTGTGTCTGGTATCTGTTGATGAGCTAACACTGCCCAGCGGGATGATCCTGTGTGAGTTTAATGCGCCTTCTGTTACAAAGGCAGAAAATGAGCCTTCCAGCTATTTAATGTCAAGGCTTTCAGATGACGGCCGCACACACCAGCAGCCATTCCACTGAAGAGGCTGACGAGGCGTCACAGCACACATATACTCACACACAGAGCGGGCGGGCGGGCGGGTGTGTGTGCCGGCATGAATGGAGGGATTTAGTGGTCTTTGATTCAGGGAGGAAGGAGGAGGCTTCCATCTATTCTGTGTGTGAGGAGCCGGCAGCAGCGAGCATGCTGGGAAATGGTAATGAACTGGAACCGTCTCCCTCTGAACAACATTAGATGTTTACAAGCTGCTGTCTCTGCTGAGGAGAACCCAGGAAGGTCGCCATCAGGAAAAGCATGGTTGGACCTCAGAACACCCAGAAACCATCAGATTAACCTTTAATCCGGAGTAGATGGAAACTGGAAACACTGGTTCCAAACTGGAAAACATCTCCGAGTCCAAAGAAAGACCCATTTCAGTGAAACATGAATGATCCCTGAGGCTCAGACCAATAGAAACCTGATTCGCTGGTTCTGATGCGTCGGCAGCCATGTTTCCAGGCTGGTCCACAGCAGGTGGGACACGGGAACCAATCTGGACTCGCATCTCCTTCCTCTGCAGGAGAGATTCACTAAAGTCCAAGCTGGGAAAATCTATTCGGTTCATTTCAGTTCTATAGCTACAATTCACATCTTATCTCACTTTATAGATCCAGATCAACCAGATCATCCAGTCAGATTAGTTTCTATCTAAGGAAAAGCAGCTGATTGACTCTCAGCAATCCCTCACACCTTTATGGCATTGAAGCTAAAACCCAGAAGGAGTGATCTGTTTGCTATATTTCTGTAAAGAGGCGTTTGGGAGCGAATTAACAATCAGCTTAGAGTGAAGCGAGTAGAATGGCCAGTAGAAGCAAAGGAAAAATAGCCTCAGGTTAAACTTCTAGGATGTGGCTATGATGCTGGTTGGAGGCAGCCATCAGCGGGGGGGGATCTGGTGCCACTGGGAGCAAAGGTCCAGCTAGCGGAGCCAAACTGGGAGGAGATGCGGTGGATTCTAGTTTAAAGTCGTCAAGCGACAAACACAGAATATTTGCTGTGTTTGGTGTGAAGCTTCCATTAGCCCCCCCCCCTTTCAGAGACATAGGCAGGTATGGGGCATTGCAGGCTAACAGCCGCCCCCATTCCAAAGGGGGGGACCCGTTCATCCGTTTCTATTTGCATGTTTTCTAAACTAAAACCAGGCTTAGTTGGGCTGCTGTCTAAACCAGAGGTAACCAATCAAAAATCCTTTGGGTCTGAATAAAGAAAATCATCAACCAGAAAAGGTCCGGAGACATTTTTAATTATAATCTGTTACTTTAAACAGACTGAAATAAAATGAACACTGAAATAAAATGAGGTGTTTATGCATCCACGTTATAAATGAAGTTTTAAATAGAAAATATAAAAAAAATGTTTTCCATTTTTAAATCTAAAGTGTTTTTTGAAGTAGAGAACAACAATCGTTCAGTTTGGTTTATAGATAATTTCCTGATTCCCATATTT